TGGGTGGAATTCATCTAGTCACTGCCACCCATAGTGTGTCATCGTTGCGAACCTCCGCTGATGTCATCTTCATCCATTTCAGGTTAGCTGACGCCACGCGCTGCCAGTTAGTCAACCACCATACGTCATCGTCCAGTCAAAACTAGCTGACCAGATGTAAGCCGATAGGATCCGCTTTTGCTTTGCTAGATTCTTAGGCCTTCGCGCCCATAGGGTTGCTGCCATCGTCGGAATCCTCCTCCGCCTTCTGGACTCCTAGCCCGCCACCACCCCTAGGGCTGCCGCCTCTGTCGGTGTCCACTTGCTGAAAACGCAGACCTCCGTCGTCGAGGATATCTTCATCCACCCGGACTCCCTGGGTCTCCACCCCATGTTAGTTAATAGAAGTATGGCAAGGTTTGACAATATGGGTATGCCAACCAAATAGTCTCTAAGTTTTTTTTAGACTGACAGTAGAACTTGTGTTGTACAAGTTCACAACGCGAAAAAGATCACGTCGCGTGTTCACCAAATTTCTACAGGTAGTACTAAAAACTCAGGTTCGCACATGTAGGTGTCGGGCGATGTCGTCGTGCTGGTCAGTCCAAGAAGCCATTGACAAGTAGGATAAAATCATCTGCAGTTGACTGTACCACGCGGCCCACATGTCAGTGACAAAAGTACGGTACATATTAACATATTAACTGCAAATGATCTCAATCCCAGCTCTGATTCATCAGCGAACTGCTCGCGCCGTACGTAGTCGTGAACGCGAGACACGAGGAGAGAGCGGCCATCAGTCCAGTTGAGGTTCAGCACGAAGGGACCGACCGAGGATGTTCTGTAGTGTTCACCAGCGCGCGCCACCACCCTGCAGGCTGCAGCTGCTTGGCAGCAGCTTTTCCTTTTCCAGCCAGCCCCGCGACACGGCCGTCACCTGTGTGTACTGCTGCTGCGGCTCACGGCCCAGCGTGTCCGCCCCTTTGGGCGCCAGCGCCAGTGGCCAGCCGGCCGCACCACTGCACTGCAACCGGGATTACTGCTAGTACGACCAATCTGTCCCGGCTAAAACCCCGTCACGTTCTGCACTTTCCAGCTTCTAACTTTTTTTTTCTTATGCTTATACTTCCCCCGTTTCAAAATGTTTGACATCGTTGACTTTTTAACATATGTTTGACCGTTCGTCTTATTAAAAAAAGTTTATGAAATATGTAAAAATATATGTGTACATGAAAGTATATTTAACAATAAATCAAATGATATGAAAAGAATAAATAATTACTTAAATTTCTTGAATAAGACGAATGGTCAAACACGTACTAAAAAGTCAACGGTGTCAAATATTTTGAAACGGGAGGAGTATTTATAAGCTAAAATTTAAATTATGAACCTTAAATTTCGAGCTGATTTTAAGGATTTTTCATCATAATTTTTTTAGCCTATGCTTTTACTTTCTCCGTTATAAGATGTTTTGACTTTGGTCAAAGTCAAACTGCTTTCAGTTTGATTAAGTTTATAGAAAAAATAATAATATTTTTATCCAAGATAAATTTATTATAAAAATATATTTAATTATTAATTTAATAAAACTAATTTGGCAATGTTAATATTACTATATTTGTTTATAATTTAGTTAAAGTAGTTTGACTTTGACCAAAGTCAAAATATCTTATAACTTGAAATAGAGAGAGTATATCGCTAAGAACACGTATATAAAAGTTTTATTCACAAATTATTTTTCGTTTGTAAATATGTCATTTGGCTCTTTTCCTTAATAAGCCAAATGATGACCCTATTCATCTCGATTGGTCGGTCCGCCGCTGTCAGAAAAAATAGTGCTAAGGCTCTTTTTTAGATAATGGATTTTCATCAATCTGACCTCTATATCCACGAAAGATATACACAGTCAAAAAGATATAAGAACACTTAGACTCAATTTTAACAAAAAGAAGAACACAAAACCAAAAGAAAAACCAACTACCCTGGCACATCCTTGCTTTCCGACATCCTCTCGTGAAACAGCGAGATTCAGCGAGTGGAAGTCGTCTAGTCACCTACGCTCCTTGTGCGTCGTCGTTGCGAGCCTCTATTGATGCCATGTTCATTTGCTTCAGCCATACGTCGCCGGTTTAGCCCACCTTCATCCGTCGTCGTCCAGCCAAAACTAGTCAACCAAACGCGAGCCAACAAGATCCATTTCCGCTTCGCTTGATTCCTAGGCCTCTGCCGTCCCTAGGGCCATCACCGTCTTCGGGATCCTCCTCCCCCTCCTGGACTTTTTTTTATTTTAAAGTGTCCAGAGTGCTAAGGCGTTTCCACAAATTGAGAACCGGTTCATTCGGTCAATAATTTTAGCAAAATTCCTAAAGGAGAATTTGATCGGTTCATCACAAATATCGTGAGGTCGGTGGTTAAGACTGCATACGGGGAGGCTACCAACTGATGAACTTAACGAACGACAATACTCGATTAATTAACCAGCTGGTAACCATATACGTCCATATACGTCCACAACACATAAACTGTGCTAGTATATATACTAACGACCGATATTCGGAGCTCACTTCTGTGCCATAATATTTAGTAATCAAACACGGATTCTGTCGACCAAACTTGTGACATTTCCGCTGCTAATAGTGCATTTGATAAGCACAGGCGATGTGACATAGTGGCGTTGACTTGTTTTGGAGGCTGGAAAAGTGGAGATAGCAGGTAGACCTAGCAATTAAATTAAGCTGATTAAGCACCATCACTACTACTACTACTACAGTACATTATTAGCCACAAAGATAGCTTATTAAGTGGTACCATGTCTGCTGATGAGCGTTTGCTATGTTAAGGTGCAAATAACATGTGCACCTAATTTGCTTTTCTTAAAATGAGAACCTTCAAGTCTTCAACATGATTAAAAAAAATTAAGATTTCATCCGTTGAGTTTCTCCCAGTGAGAGTGAAGCTAAATCATTTTTTAGTCATCCAAACTGACTAAACTGGAGTAATAAATACAGTACTGTATCAGCCAAATCCTCCATGTATTTAGGGGGTGTTCAGATCATGGGTATAAAGTTTTAGCGTGTCACATCGGGTATTATATAAGGTGTAGCACCACATTGTTAATTAATCCAAATTTATTAAGCCTAATTAATCCATTATTAGCAAATGTTTACTGTAGCACCACATTATCAAATCATAGAGCAATTAGGCTTAAAAAATTTGTCTCGCAAATTAATCGTAATCTGTGTAATTAGATTTTTTTTAGCCTATATGTAATATTTCATGTAGGTGTTCAAACGTTCAATGAGATGGGGTGTAAAATAATATCGATTGATTGATATGAAATGCGTCAACTTGCGACTGATTTAAATCATACTCCCTCCGTTTTTTAATAGATGACGCTGTTGACTTTTTCTCACACGTTTGATCATTCGTCTTATTCAAAAATTTTATGCAAATGTATAAGATATAAATCACACTTAAAGTACTATAAGTGATAAAACAACTCATAACAAAATAAATTATAATTATGTAAATTTTTTGAATAAGACGAATGGTCATATATGTGAGAAAAAGTCAACGGCGTCATCTATTAAAAAACGGAGGTAGTATAATGCAAGCATGCACGCTCCAATCACCTTTTAAAAAACATGATCTCGCTCCACATGGATTGATAAAATGCAAATATTTCTGAATTAGCAAAAGGATAAAACACCACATGTCGTCACACTTTAAGATAATTTTTTTAAGCAATCGATTAGCGGAAGAACTATCTGATCGATTTGATATCTGCTGCGTGAAAAATTAAACCTGACGTATCTGCAGGTTCTTTTGCTCCAACGTGCTACTAGTGCTGAACTTTTTTCCGGGTGTTAATGAGAATCATTACCCTTTTTTCTGCCTTTCTTTCTTTTGGAGAGTTCATGAGAATCCATCATTAGATGGCCCAGGCAAATGTCTCCTTATCGTTCCTGCCAGCCGACAATGTTCCATGGCTTATGCAACTCCATTTCCAAATTTATCAACTTAACATAAAGAAAAGTAACAGATGAATACAGAGTACTTGTTCATATAGAAAAGGGCATTAATTTACGTCCACCTAAAACGTATATTCGTTAGAGACGGCGATTATTTGTTATACCGACCGTGTTCCCTGGTTGCAAATTTTGGTGTGAACACTTAACAAGAAGAATTATTAGGGTTGTCGTGGTACCGTACTAGATGTAAAAACAATTATGCTAGACCCCCCGCTGATCAACGAAAGCTGCTTCTCCATTTGCCTCTCACCATTTGCTTATTCGCTTGTCAGCTGTAACCTAAAACCAAAATTTAATTTTAAAACATAGTTTTAGTGTTGATTTTTGGGTTTCTTATATCATAGTATATTTTTCAACCCTAGCTTTTAAACCACCAATAATAACACAACTATGTATAAAAGTTTTAGTCTTGCTGCTCCGTCCATATTTTTATAACTTATCGATCGTATAGCTCACTATGTAAATCAATTGTTTAGTGTTGGATCTATAAGCAACATGATGATAAATTTCTCTTTAAAAAATCTCGCAGTATTATATTATTACCGTGTTGTTTGATTAAATAAAAACTACAACTAAGGCCGTTCCCTAAATTTTTTTCCCAAAAACATCACATCAAATCTTTGGACAGATGCATGGAGCATTATATATATATATATATATATATATATATATATATATATATATATATATATATATATATATATATATATATATATATATATATATTAAAAAACTAATTGCACAGTTAGGGGGAAAATCGTGAGACGAATCTTTTGAGCCTAATTAGTCCATGATTAGCTATAAGTGCTACAATAACCTACATGTGCTAATAACGGATTAATTAGGCTCAAAAGATTCGTCTCGCGGTTTCCAGACGAGTTATGAAATTAGTTTTTTTCATTCATGTCCGAAAACCCCTTCTGACATCTGGTCAAACATCCGATGTGACACCCAAAAATTTTCTTTTCGTGGACTAAATATGCCCTAATAGAAAATAGGACCACATGAAGTGAGGCACCCACTGAGGATTTTTGAAGAAATGAGCTATTTACTATAAAAAAATTTCTGTAAAATTTGTATCTTTTCAAAGTATAACAAAACACCTTCGGTACTGCATAGTGGGCCCATCCGATGAGCGAGCTCACTTATATGGGTTAATTGATCCATGCCATTGCAAATATGTCAATTCAGAAAAATGCCACTACTATTCAGCATATCTTCTACGTGTGCTACTGATAATTGGGAAAATTGGAACCGTGCCACTCCATCATGTTTTCCGTCAAAAAATCCGTAAGCCCCAACTGCAAGTGGGACCTAGCTGTTAGTTCTATCTCCCACCTCCCTCCCTTCTCTTTTCTTTCCCCTTCCTCTCTCCACCACTGTAGATGGTGGTCTCGGGCTGACGACGAGGGCGACATCCCGGCGGCCACCTCGGGCTCACGCGACGGCTGCTTTAGACTCCGACGACAACTACAAGGAGGTCGAGATGCAGTCGCCGTCGTCAACCATCTCTGCGGTGGGAGTCCTCGGGACTTCCTTTCTCTCCACCACCATCGTTGACCACCTCCGCGGTGGGAGGCCTTGGGAGCCACTGCCGTCGACACCGTCGTCTTCGACCCTATCTGCGGCGGGAAGCTCAGGAGCCACCGCCGCCGCCGTCATTGACCTCATCTGCGCGGGAGAGCTTGGGAGCCGCCGCCGCCGTTGTTGTCCTCGTCGTGGTCGTCTGCGAGCCGCACCGCCTCTGCCCAGATCTGGCGAGGAGGGTCACCGGTGTTGTCTATGGCGATGGAGGAGGGTCGAAGGACAGCTCCGGGCTACCGATGGAGGATGCGTCGGGCCTCGAGCTCCGCCGCCATCGGCCCCGAGCTTCATCGCTGGTGCTGCCGACGCCCGACACCCATCTCGTCTCTCCATCAGGAGAGGGGAAGAAGAGAGATGGAAAGGGAGGGGCAAAAGTGACATTTAACAGTAGGGATTAGACGGAGGTTGACAGAAAATTAGACGGCAGTGGCATGGTTCCAATTTTCCTAAATTTTAGTAGCACGTAGCCGATATCGTAAATAGTAGTGGCATGTATTATATTATTAAAACAGCCTTGAAAGGAGACACCACGTTCGCTGTGGAGGCTAGAAATTCCCAAATTAATCGAAAAAAAGAAAAATAGAGTCCATGTAGGAATACAATTCAGAAATATCTAAAATTTGGAATTAAAAATGAGCAACATTGAATAAGAGTCACGAGATTAATTAAAATTCGAGATAAAAATAAAATAAAATCCAAAATTAGAAGAAAAAAAAGAAAAGAAGAGTCCAAATATAAATACAACTTAAAAGTAATTGGAATTCGGAATAAAAATAAGAAATATTGAAAAAAAGATTCCATATAAGAACACAATATGAGATTTATTAAAATTCGAAATAAAAAATAAAATAAAATCCGAAATTAGAAAAATAAAAAAGAGAGTTTGAATAGGAATACAATTTTGAAACAACTGAAATTAGAAATAAAAAATAAGAAATATAAAAAGAATAGTCCATATAGAACACGATACGAGATTAATTAAAATTCGAAATAACAAATAAACAAATTCTGAAATTAGAAAAATAAAATAAGAGTTCAACTAGGAATACAATTTATAAATAACTTAAATTCGTAATAAAAAATAAAGACTATTGAAAGAGGAGACCATCTAGAACACATGAAGAGATTAATTAAAATTCCAAAAAAAATAAATTCCAAAAATAGGAAAAAAATATTATAAGATTTTAAGTTGGAATATAATTTATATAAAAATATTGGAATAAAAATATGAAATTTTCAAACAAAAATTTCATCTAGAACACATATGACAAATGACAATAAAGACTAGAGAAGCAACATATCTGTAAAGGAGTTGAGTTGTGATTGCTGATGGGACATCTAGAAACTGTTAATAAAATCCCAAATAAAATCCCAATAACGATTAAAAGGAGAGATGATGGACATGTCGTTAAGCAATAAGCTGACAGTGGTTGGAAGGACTTCTAAAAAGTAAAAAATAACCTCCAATGATAATTATGTTTGATTAAGTCTCAATGACATTAAAGAGGGGAGGCAGTGGGTGAGCCGTAGGGGAGTACAGTGGTAAAGCCACTGATGGTTTGGCGGGACGTCAACTTCTAGAAGTAAAAAAAAAGAACCCAAACTATAATTATGTTTGATTCTTAAAATCTCAATGATAAAGCAGCAGACGAGTCGTACATTACTATAGTGACGCGTTTGACAAGACTTCTAAAAATTATAAAAATGAAACCCAATGAGGCAATAAACTCTAAAAACTATAAGGTCCAATTTTTAAAGGTTCGAGACTTCTAAAAAGTAAAAAAAAAATAATGATAACCAGCGGGCGACGGCGGGCGAGCCGTAGAAGAGTACTGTGGGAAAGCTGCTAACGGTTTGGCGGGACTTTAAGAAAGTAAAAGAAATGACAATAATGAGGGAGACAGCGGGCGAGCCGTAGAAGAGTACTGTGGCAAAGCTGCTAACGGTTTGGCGGGACTTTAAGAAAGTAAAAGAAATGAACCCTAACAATAACTATGTTCAATTTTTAAAATTCTAATGATAATAAAGAGAGAAGACAGCAGGCGGACCATAGAGGAGTATAGTGGCAGCGTTTGACGAGACTTCTAAAATTATAAAAATAAAACCCATCGAGACAATAAACTATAAAAACTTTAAGGTCCGATTTTTAAAGGTTCAGGGCTTCTAAAAACTAAAAAAAAAATCTCAATGATAATCATGTTTGATTTTAAAATCTCAATGACAATAAAGAGGGGAGGTAGAGGGCGAGCCGTAAAAGAGTACAGTGGCAAAGCCACTTTGTTTTGCGGGACATCTAGAAAGTAAAAAAATAAACCCAAACAATAATTATGTTCGATTATTAAAATCCCAATAACAATAAAGAGATGGGACGACGGACGGATCGTAGAGAAGTATAGTGGCAGTATTTGATGGGACTTCTAAAAATTATAAAAACAAAATCCAATGATACAATTAACTCTAAAAATTATAAGATCAAAATTTTAAAGGTTTCAAGGAAAATGAATAGAAACAATGGTAAATCGAACCAATAAATAAAGAATGGGTGACTTTTAAAATCTATAAAATTAGAAACACGGGGATGATAAGGTTTGGTATTTCAAAGTCTTAAGATAACGAGATAACTATTTAATAAATTTTAAGTAAAATCATATTAAAAATAGATAATTTTATATGGATGCTAGCCGCGCAATTGCGCGGGCCACCCAGCTAGTTTTTCTAATATGCCATATTTGCAATGGCATGGATCCAATTAACCCTTACACATTTTCGTCACCGCTTCATGTAAAAGGGTTAACCCGGAAATAATATAGTTAGAGAGATAAGTATTTATAGATTGGTTTTACCCTTGTTAAACTAGCAATATGATACTAAACATCCCCACACAGTGCTTATATATGGATCACACATGTCACACTTTAATTGGGTCAGGATGCCATACTTGCATGATGCAATGTTAACAGCTTATAATGATAGGGGTGAACTATTTGAAGTGCTCATCCACGAAAAAGGAAGTAAAAGAGGAATAAATAATAAGAAAGAGAAAATAAAGAATGGTTTAATTAAGAGAAGATTAGGAGGACACCAAGGCAAAGGGGAGCATAGGGAGCCCAATAAGGAGATAGCTCTCAACGGCTCAACGCCATGGTGATGCAAAGGGTCCGGCTTGTCGCTGGAGACCGGTCCACATCAAATCCCTAATTACCGTGAGGTGGCCATGGACCGAATGTGGGGGCCACAAGCGTTCTACAGCCCTAAAATTGCTACGTACACCCGGTGAACAAGTCTTGAATTATTTTTTCTTATGAAAACCAAATATCGAGTCGTATCCTACATAATTAAATTGAGTTGACTCGTGTGAAAAACTAGCTAGTGTGACAATGTATCTGATTGATGATGATGATGTATCCAACTCTGTTAGATCAGCATCACACAGCTTTAATCTTAGCATGGTTAATTAATAAAACCCATATGTAGTAACACAGCAGCATGGAGTGATTGCACAGGTTTTTTGTTGGGTGATAATGTTACGCATCCAAAGTTCATTGCGTTTTTATATATTGGTGCATAGACAGAGCCTTGAATGGATTCAATAATTGTGTTTTTTTGCGCGTGTCTGTATGCAATGTATATCAATCATTTCCTTTGAAAGTTCTTTTAAAATGAATTGATTGGTACAGTCATGCATTTGCCGATCTAATTTTCCACCTAGTGTTGGGCATATAATAATCCAATACAAACATTATTGAAGATTTCCTTTTTAAAATGTAGATGGGGACTTAACTTTAGTAAAACATTTGATGCTTCAACGATTTGGTCATAGTCTATCAGCATTTCAGTAGGTTCACCTGTCGGCACACTGAGGCATCAGTTCACCATAATGTAAGTCTTTTTTTTTCTCTCCTTTTAGATTGAATTCTCTCTTTTGCTGCTCTGAGAGCATATTGTAACGTTGATCAGGGGCTCAGGGCTTCCTGACGAGAACGAAGAAATTAATATGTAAGTTGCTTCCCATGTCTCGGAATAAATTTATCTTTTGTCTCTCCCGTTTATCTAAACTAAGCTTATTTTTAAGTAATCATTACATCGAATCTTATAAAAATAGATGATAAATGTATTGGAGGTAGATAAAAAGAGAAATAATTGTATTGTATTTGATAAAGTGGGAGTATTTTTAGTCTTTTTGTTTGCATTGATATGTATGGGATGAGTGGAGTGAGTGTTAGATTCTCCAAGTGGGAAACATATCTCGTGCACACAATCTTTGCGTGCACATAAACCAAAAAAATGTCACAAGAAAACTTATAAAAATATGAATACTTTCAATGGTGTTACACTTATGGGTAAAGATCTAACTTCAAATCTATCAACTTATTAAAAGAATAGAAAAAGGAGCCTCCACGTTCGCTCTCACGGTCTAGAAATTCTCATATTAATCGGAGAAAAAGAAAAACAGAGTCCATATAGAAATACAATTTAGAAATAGTTGAAATTCAGAATTAAAAATAAGGAATATTAGAAGAGGAGACTAGAGTTCATATAGAAAAACAATTAAGAAATAATAGAAATTCGAAATTAAAAATAAGGAATATTAGAAGTAGAGTATAGAGTCCATATAGAAATACAATTAAGAAATAATAGAAATTCATAATTAAAAATAAGGAATATTAGAAGTAGAGTATAGAGTCCATATAGGAATTTAAAACTAATAACTAAAATTTGAAATAAACATAATAAAATTAAAAGTAGAGTTTAGAGTTCGTATAAAAATACAATTTACGAATAACTAAAATTTGAAATTAAAAAAATATGGGAAGAAGAGTCTAAAGTCAATATAGGAATACAATTTAGAAGTAACTGAAATTCGAAATTAAAAAAAATGGGAAGAAGAGTCTAAAGTCAATATAGGAATACAATTTAGAAGTAACTGAAATTCGAAATCAAAAATTAAAGAATATTGAAAGATAAGTTTAGAGTCCACATAGAAATACAAATAGAAATAATAAAAATTCAGACTTAAAAATAAATAATATTGAAAGAAGAGTCTAGAGTCTAAATAGAAATACAGTTTACAGATAACGAAAATTCGGAATGAAAAAAAGAAATATAGAAAGACGAGCCTATAGTCCATATATTAGGAATATAATTTACAAATAACTAAAATTTGATATTAAAAATAATTGATAACTAACACCTATATAAAATACAATATGAATATTACACAATAGTAGTTTCATAAAGTCAGTACAAAATTTAAAATTATGTTGTTATTTTAATATATTTGAATAATACATTGAGAAAATGTCACGTCCCAAAACGACTCTAAAATATATCCTTTAAATTATGCCTAGAATAATTAAAATCCGTGTGAAAGCCTCCAACAATTAAAATGTGCAAAGTTAAAAGTCAAATAAGGCTTAGAGGATTTTTGTAAATTTCCTAAAAGCCTAAAATGCGTAAATAAATTTTAGTGGAATTTTCAGAGCACAAATAATAATTATTAAGAAATAAACAAAGTTAAGATGATTTTATAAAAAGAAAAACCCTAAAAAGTCCCCCTTCCCTCCCTTGGGCCGAATTCGGCCCATCTCCCTCCCCCTCTCTCTCCTCTCTCCCCGCGGCCCACTCGGCCTCTCCGGGCGCGCGCGCCGCTGACGGGCGGGCCCGCCCGCCACCCTCGCTGACGGGTGGGGCCCACCCGTCATCCCCTTCCTCCCGCCGCTCCCGCCGCCTCCCCCGCGCCCTAGCGCCGCCGCCGCCGCGAATCCCGCCGCCTCCCGCCGTCCCCGCGTGCAATAAAGTGGGGGGAATCACTCCCCGTGATCCCCTCTCCCTTTCCCCCCATTTTTCCCTCTCTCTCTCGCGTTCAAACGGGCGGATTTGCCCCCGCAAATCTCGCCGGCGCCATTGATGGCGGCCGGACCTCCCGCGCCGGTTTCTTTCCCCTCCGGCCGCTCTCTCCCCCTTCCAACCCTATTTAAACCCTCCCCGCGCCTCCCTCGCCCATTTCCGCCCCTTTGCCGCACCGTCTCCCCGCCGGAATCGAGCTCGCGCCGTCGCCCTCTCTCTCCTCCGTCGCCGACGACCTCCGGCCGGCCTTCTCCGCTCGCCGGGACCGTCTCCCGCCCCGGCGTCGCCTCCTCCGGCTTCGTCGCACCGCCGTCGACCCCGTCCACCCCCTCGCCGAGTCCGCCGACCGCCGGAACGCAGTCGACCCCGTCGACCCGAGCCGCGCCTCCGCCTTCCTCCGCTCTGGCCGCCTTTTTCGTCATCGCCGTCGACCTAAGGTGAGCCGTGGACCGCCGCCTCTTTTCCCCCTTCCCTTCCCCTCTCTCGGCCGCCGCTCCGCCGTGCCTATGGCCGCCGCCGGCGACCATAGGGGCGCGGGCGCCGCCTCCCGCCGGCCGCGCCGAGTGGCCGCCTTCGGGCGCGCCGAGTGGCCGCCGCGTGGGGCCCGGCCGTCAACCGCCCGCGCCCTCGGGTGCGGCTGACGCGTGGGGCCCACGGCGCCGGCCGGTGCGAGCCCGGGTGCACCCGGTCCACCGTGGACCGTGAGGCTGCCGCGTGGGCCCCACTCCCGTGGACCCGGTCCACGCGCCCCCTCCCCTCGGCTGACGCAATAAACCCTTTTTAAATTAAAATTTAAATGAAGAAATTCGCAAATATTCATTTAAAGAGTATATAAACTTCAAATGGCCATAACTTGGCCATTTGAACTCGGAATTGGACCGTTCAAGTCTCTAATTTTTCCTTAAGAAGTCAAGAACCCATTTTTGTGCTTTGTTCCTGCTTGTTATATGGAGTTTATTAGAGTAAAAGCCCTTTTATTTTCCGTTGGTCGTGTAGACGTTGCAGCTTCAGAAGATCCGCTCTTCGTAGAGGTTGAACCCGACGTTTGGGAAAGTGAGCAAGGCAAGTCACATCATCCTTGAACATATTGAATCCCAGTTTATAAAATTATTTTGATTTAAATTATTGCATTATCGCTTTATTTAAATTCTTGCGTTATCACTATTTTATCTAGCCATGCCTATTTACCTTTGTTATGACCTTATTATTGTTATTGTTATTATTTCCTTGTTCACCCTAGAATAAAAAAAACCCCAACTAGTGGACACTCTACTCATGGTACCACTAATATGATTTTAGGTAGATGCTTCGCTGGTTAATTAGGCAACATTAGGTGGTTTTACAACTCTAGACTTTGGGAATACTCTTATCACCTGGACACTATGGAATGGTTGGATTATTGTGGAATTGGATTCACACCTCCCCCTCTATTCAAAACCCTCAAAATGGTTTTAGGCTGGGCTCGGGGTGCATGGTTTTGATAGTAGCACCTCGGCCATATAAGGACCGGTCTTCGGGCCTCTGTTGCAAAGCACTACCGTACTTCCACATGTCTAGTGGGTAAGGCTTAGTTTGTGGCTCAGTCTGGTTATAAACAAAAGTACACGGATGGAGATGGACGAAGTCAGGGGTCGATGGACATCTCTAGGGCAAATGAAGGCTACACGAGCTGCGGCCCGGTAGTCGAGATGTCATGGCACAGGGCCGGTGTCCTGCTGCTAGGGGCTCAGTCCTGCCTACCTGTCCCGGGGGTTCCGGCCGTAGGCGGGGTTGGGTCGGTACTCTTGTTTATGGCTAGGATGGGTTGGAAACTATGTCATGTCTTCCGTCCGTATACCGTGGTGGTATGTGGCACGTGGTTACACGTGAGGAAGATGTGTCTTGTGGGTAAAGATGTACACCTCTGATCAGAGTATAATCTATTCGAATAGTCGCGCCCTCGGTTATGGGCAAGCCGAGCAATGTACCCAAGTTAGTGTTTTTAATTCTTAAAACCTGCTTAACAACTAAAATGTGGAATGGTAGGCCTGGGTTGGCTTGGGACGAGCTGGGACCTAGGGTCGGGTTGCCAGTTCGGTCTGAATCATCGTAGGCCTTGGGTTAAGGCAGGTTCGTGTGGGTTCACGGCCTTGGTTAATAATATTGTATAGCTCTATGACCGTGTTTACAAAGTAGCTTTGAGCAACTAAGTGACTTTTAATGCTGTTTACTGCAAACCCTAACCCCCTATATTATGACTCCCTTGTACTCCCTTGCATTTATTCTGCACTTATGGGTGTGTCTTGTTTAGTACGGTGGTTGTACTCAGTCTTGCTCAATTTTTCCCAAACCCAGAAGAGGAGCCCCTGGATGATGAAGGCTTTGGTGTCTAGCTCGTGCCTGCCGTCAAGCGCCTGTGGTTGTCGCCCTAGTCTTCCGTTGTTTCCCGTTTGTCTTTGTGTGTGCTGGGCCTTCGCCGCCCATGTAATAAAGTAACTATTTACGCTTCCGCTTGATAAACTCTGAAATGTATCAACTTTTGGTGTACCTTGCCTCCTGGGACAAGGAATAATACACGCACGTAAGGAACGCCCGTTGGGTTATTTCCGGTCATGACAGAAAACATATATACTATTTTATGAGAGAAAATATAATGATGCTAGCCGCACAATCTGCGCGAGCCACCATGCTATTTTTTATATTTTAGCAGTAGCAAAAAAAATTCTAATAGTTTTAAGACTAAATCTATCATAATTTTATGATATTTGTTACTCCCTCCGTCCTAGAATATTAGGAACTTTGGTTGGATGCGACACATTTTAGTACTACGAAATGGACACAGGAGTTTATCCAGATTTATAATACTATAATGTGTTCCATCCAATTAAAATCTCTTATATTTTTTAACAGAGAATAGTTGGTGTGCATGATGTGTACATGTGAAGTCTTGTATAGGATAGGTGATAGGTTCCCGAGCTTAATTCAGTTACTTAGATAAAATCGCCAAAAGATTGTGAACCATTTGAGTGACTGATATTTTTGGTTTGATCACCACGTTTGATCTTTTAAACACATGAATTTCACAGTTTTTTTTATATAAGTTACTCCACCCGTCTTAAAATATAAAAAAGTTTTGGTTGGTTGGGACACATTTCAGTACCATGAATCTGGACATATAACATGTCCAGATTCATAGTTTTAGGATATGTTCCATACAATCAAAACTTCTTATACTTTGGGACAGATGGATTAGTTCAATTCTGGCAAAAAAAATTATTTAAATTTTGTCTTTGTTCTTAATGATTTTTTTTCCTCACGTCACCATTCCAAGCACACACGTTAGCATTGGGTCATGAATATACTAATTTTGGCCTCAGTCTACTGCACCCGACATGTCTTATCAGGTGATGAGCAACTGTTAGTAGTAGGAAGAATGTGAGGGTCCGGCCTATTAATGGCCTCAGATTGATTAAGCATGTGGCTAGCCGCAATTTGGACCAGTAATTTCCACCCAGGAATACATGCAAATTAAAGGAGAATCCCATCTGTTTTAGTTTGTCTGCTTCCGATGATGTTAACCTAAGTGTTACAATCTTAATGACGTGTAATCCAGTTTGTAGTGTACTCCACATATCATGAGACATTTAACATGCATGAAACTCCACATATCATGTTCTAGTTCGCTTTCTTTCACTATCCACAAAATATTCAAGCACAGTCGCCTACTTGGGCCCCTGAAGATGACGCAGAAAACGAATTAGTGAAGAAGGTTAACAGTCACTACTGTCTAATGTGAGTATATTATGATGGAGCACACTCGAGGGCTCCTTTAAAAAAGTGGGTATTTTTATCTGATTCCTAAGATGAAGTGAACTTATTTCTGTGAAATTTTTGGACCCTATCCATTGCTTCGATTTATAATGGGACGGAGGAAACAAGTCATTTGTAAAGCATTGCTTAGAACCATGTCACTTAGCTATTACTAGTATTATTGATTAATCTTGCTAATCAAAGCCGAAGCATTGTGCCATGCCAAAGTACTACTATACCGTAGGATGAACAAGAGCTCTACTAAACCATTTGTTTTTTTTCCACCAAAGTGACACACACCCATTTCACCACAAGGCCAGCCAACCCAGCCAAGCGATGCATCTCACATTCTCACTCCCCTATAAACCCCCAGGCCCTGTACTAAAAACCTGAACCCTGTCCCCTCCCCCTCCCCTCCCTCCAAAGCCTTTGCACATGCCTGCAATTTTTGGAACTCTCTGCCCTAAAACAATTATCCATACTCCCATCCATCGATCTCTACACCTAAAAAAACTCTAATGAAAACCCAGCTGCTGCACTGCATTGCTGCTTGGTTGCTTGGCTTCTTGCTCCTCCTCCTCCATGGTGAACTGGTGGGTGACTGCAGCGTGATGCATGCATGCAGCCCTTTGTCTTCTCCTCTGTCCCGGCACTCGCTGCAAACATGACGACCCTCACCTGCAAAAACATGCTGTTCTTGGTGGTGGTTGTTCACAGTCACAGCCCCAGCAGGATGTAGTACACCAGCGTGATGGGCAGCGCGATGAGCATGCCAAAGATGACCCTGCACACACAAACCAACGGCAGGTGAGACAAAAACCACCGAGAGAAAATGAGAGAATATTTGGCGAGCGAGAGAGAGATGGACTTACGCCGTGCTGAGAATGTCGGGGTGCACGCTGTACTCCTTGGCGAAGACGAAGGGGACAATGCCCTGTGGCAACGCTGCCTGCAGAGGAGGATTGCCAAAAAAAAAAGGAAAAAAAAAGTCAGTGGCGAGCTCGAGAGCTCGAGCGAACTGGAAAGGCGAGCGAGCTTTTGTTTTGTCTAAAAGCGAAAGCGCTCGCTGTACTACTTTGCCGGCACAGGCGCCGCTGTTTTTTTTTTCCCATCTTTTTGAAAGTTGGTTCTTGTCAGTGGCCGGTCTGCCGGCGCCGGAGCTGTGCGGTTTGGTTCGGTTGGTGAGGGGATTCAGGGATTGGTTTGGTGTTTAGGAGTAGTACTGTACCTGCACGATGGCGACGTGGAGGAGCGTGCCGCGGAGGCCGACGGCGATGGAGGCGGCGGCCATGACGGCCGGGCCGGTCAGGAACCGCACCGCCATGGCGAACGTCGCCACCTTGTTCCCGCACGCGATGATCCGCGGCTGCAGCGCCATGAACAGCCCTGCGCGTGGAGAAGCGTGTTTGTGTTTGGTAAGTTGCAAGAACTGTTCGATCGATCGGTTGGTGGGGGAGGTGAGGTGAGGTGAGGAGGAGAACGAACCGAGGCTGAACATGGCCATGCCGAGGCCGGCGTCGGAGAGGATGGAGATGGATTTCAGGATGATCGCCGGCATCTCGAAGTTCCACCTGCGCGCCAAGAAACGGGAACGCGTTTAGTTTAACCATGGCTAACCTCGCCGGCGTCCGGCGATGAGCGTGAGCGTGTGTGTGGGTGATTACCGGAAGCAGACGAGCGACCAGATGAGGCCGATGAGGCTGGAGTAGGTGTTGGGGTTGCGGATGAGCTTGCGCCACACCATGATCAGGATGAGCCGCGTCATCACGCTCGTCGGCGGCATCGCCGTCGGCGCCGGCGTCAAGCCAGGCTTGCCATGCTCACCCGACACCGCCGCCGCCACGCTCTTCTCGTCGCCGGCCTCCGCGTCCCTCTCGGCGACGCCTCTGTTCCCGAAGCTGAAGTCGTCCCTCTCCACGCCGTCCGCTGCCGATCGATTAGGCAAAGTAGCAAGAACAGAGCATGGTAAGCTCGCCGCCATGTGCGACCACGAAATGCGGGTGTGAGGAGGGTGGTGTCCGGTGTACCTTTGCGCGGCGAGGCGACGGCCATGCGGACCTCCTTGACGGCGGCGGCGTCGTTGTACTCGGCGCCGTTGCCGAAGACGTCGGACACGGGCGACGCGCTGGAGCTCCAGACGAACATGTGGAGGTCTTTGCCGTCCTCGCCCTTGGCCTGGCCGTTGGCCGCCTTCTTGGGCTTGGGCGGCGCCGCCATGGCCGGGTTGGGCGCCGGGTACTGCCCGTACTTGCTGCCGGCCTTGTTGGGCGCCGCCGCGTCCTCCTCGTAGTTGGACGGCCGCGGCGTGGCGCCGGTGCGCACCCCGAACGCGTCCCCGGCGGCGAAGTTGGAGCTGCGCCCGACCATGGAGTAGAAGTCAGTGTGGTTGAAGCTGGAGCCCCGCGGCGTCGGGTTGCGCGACGACTGCAGCGAGTAGATCTCGGCGTTGGTGAGGTTGCTCGGCCGCGGCGTGGTGCTGGAGAACCCCATGGAGCGCCGCGAGTAGACGTCGGAGCGCGACGCGTTGGAGCGGCGCACGGTGACGTGTATCTTGCCGTCCTCCTTCACCTCGGCCTCCGTCTCGATCATGTCCCTCCGCCCGTCGAGCGACACGACGTCGGCGTCCACGACGATGGACGCGATGGCGCCCGCGGTGTCCGGGAACTGCTCGGTGATGAGGATCCTGGCGCCGCGGTACTCGAACATGAAGAGCATCAGCGTGTACCAGATGATGCACTGGAGCACCACGATCTGCACCATGAGGCTACCGGAGAACTCCCCGTACATCCCCTTCAGCAGCGGGATCCCCATGACGAGCGTGTTGGGCAGCGTGGAGAGGGAGAAGAGGGTGATGGTCCACTCGAGGGAGCCGCGGCGGGAGAGGTGGCTCCACAGGGTGAGGAGCGCGAGGACGATGAGCTTCTGCAGGGTGTCGGCGGCGATGAAGCGGAGGTTCATGGTGTAGGGGTTGTTGGTGGAGATGAAGTGGAAGGAGAGGAGCGGGACGGCGAAGAGCGCCACGAAGCGGTTGATCCCGGAGCACTGGTCGGGCGTGAAGATGCGCCACCACTTCACCGACCCGTACGCCAGGATCATCGCCACGTACAGCGGCACCATCGCCGTCATCACGTGGTAGAAGTCCGCCCCCGTTATCATCTTGCAGCCAAGAAAAACCACGACTTCTTCTCTTCGCCGGTGGGTGGTGTGCGGCGGCGAGGCGGGGTTGAGTGTGCGGCGAGTTGGTGGATGGAGAAGGGGAGGCAGGCGGGGGAGCCAATGAGGGTGGGGAAGGTGGGAGGGAGTGGGCATATGTGCGGGTGATTATTTATACACATCATGTGGACGCTGCACGCACCCCGACATGAGCATGTATCCAAGGAAACGGAAAAAAAAATGGTTTGTGATTGAAAAGAAATTCGGGACTCAATTTTCTCCTCCTGGGGAGGGGTCGGCAACTCGGCACAGTAGAACGAAAACCTGAACCGAAATGATCGATGGAGATCGAAATCGAAAAGGTTCTCTCACTAAGAATATCACCAGCGGCCTCTCAAAATCAATTCTTATCTCAATGTTTAGGGGTTTTTAATTAAAACTTTTTATTTTAGATTATCTTTTATTATCGATGTTTTATTTTAAACCACCCTTTAATCAATATTTTTACTTTCGATCAGGTAAACTTACTTCTTTTGTTTTTACTTTAGAACACCTGACTCTTTTCTCAAATATATCAACGATCTCGATTACGTCGGTTTTTACTCGTCAACGAACTCTCGTCGTTATATGTAAGATTATTTCTTCGTCGTATGACAATTTAGACGTAGATAGATAAAATTTGTTGAGGTTAGTTCAAAAGACCACAAAAGTAAAAAAAATCTCCAGCTCAAAGTGAAAATAACTTACCTAAAATTAGTTGTATCAAGCATTGGCATCAACCAAACATCTTCTTCGCGTGCCCTACCTGTTCCACATCACTCGTTCACTCCACTACGAGCTGCTGGGGGCTGAATTTTGATATTTCAGACGACGCATGTATTTGGATGCCAGGAGCCTCCTGACACGTCAAGCCAAAATTTTAAATTATCCACAACAGTGTTGTAAACAATACCATCAAAGCTGACATGCCGCTGATTTCTTTTTCCTCAAAAGGAATCCCAGCGTGTGTTTGGTTTGGGGACAAAATGGAATGAGTTAGACCTATTCTAGTTTTTTAAAAAAAATGGGATGGTTATAGTTTTTTTTGTTTGATAGAAGAAATTGAGTTGAGATGAGATGGACCGTTAGGGCCGTCTGGTTCCCAGCGGACGAGCGGCGGCAGCGGAGGCGGTTGCAGACGCGGTGGCGGCTGGTCCCAGAGGCGGCGGCGGTTGCGGATCTCCGAGACCGGCCGCGGAGGCGAGGCGAGACGCGGACGAGCGACGGCCGGTCCCAGATGCGGAGGCGGACGCGGAGGTAAGGCGAGGCGTGGATGAGCGGCGGCAGTCGCGGACGAGCTGACACCGTGCACTCGTCCCAGGTGGGACGAGTTCGTCCGACTATTTTTCCCGGATCGATTGGTCCCGGATCTGAGAAAAATATTCCTCTCCTAGGACCAACCCACACTCACCCGTCAACTAAACACCCCTAAGTTCATCCCATCCCATCTCATCGTAGACTATCCTAAATATCAATGTAGCATAATATTCTACCCCTGCTACACGTGCTGTGACATACTAAACCACGGTGACAATATTGACAGGAGCAGCAACCAACATATAGTGACCGTTGTTGTTTACAGAGAATAAAATCGCTGTTATACTGACACGCAGCTTTGCCTCGCGCATGTTTTGTCTGCGCCTAAGAGCAAGGTCAATAGTATAGTCAATTACTGGCTCCAAAATATCTATAGCCAATCTAATAGCCCATTCATATAATAGTTAACTATAAAAATATACTACGCCATTAGAGCAAGTATAATAGCAGGCTATAAGCCAGCTGCAAACATATTTTAAGAAGATAAATGAGGAGAGAGAAGAGCAGCGGGCTATAGATTTGTAGTCAGCTGTAGCACGGACTCCAAGACGCAGTGTGTGTATGATAGGTGGGACCAGATATTAATAATGTAGTATATAACTATTGTATGAATGAACTATTAGATTGGCTATAAATGAATTGGAGCTAGTAGTTGGCTATACTATTAAACTTGCTCTTAATATCCGATCCCACCTCTCATACACACAAAATATCTTGAAGTCTGTGTTGCAGCCGGCTACAAATCTGTAGCCCGCTTTCTTCTCTCTCTTCTTTTTTCTTCTCGATATATGGTTATAGCCGGCTATTGTACCTGCTCTAATACGGTAGACAACTAAGCTCCACGCACGCACGCACGTAGGAATCTCGGCAGGCGGCCGGCAAGAAGATCATCAAAGCGCGCAGCGAGCGGACGGACGCCTCCTTCCCGTGGCACGCACGGTGCCGACAGGGCAACCAAAAAAGCTGCCAAACAATTCCAAACAACCAACTCCGCCGGTGCCGATGCCGGTGTCCGTCGCCGCTGCTCAGCCTCCGCGCAGGCAGGGAGTTGGTGCCTTGGGGGAGTGAGGTTTCCCGTTCAATTCATCGGCTCGCGCGACCGCTAGCTATCTGCGCCCCCGCGCCTCCACGGCCGCTGCAGCGTGCGTGGCTGCGTCACTGCGTGTGCGAGTTTCGACGGACGATATATGGTGGCCGCGCGGTACAACAAAACACAGCCACCATTTCGTGCCGTAGCGTCTCTACTCTCTAGGCGTAATCTGCCCGTCCCATCCGTATTAGATTTTCTTTTTATAAAATTAAGAGAGCAACGAACTCACTTAAAGATAAAAGTAAATCGTAAATAAAAAGTTTATTTTGATCACTTACACCCTTAAATATGAGCACAAGGCACACCGTTAGAAACCGAGCTGGCAGCTAGCTGCAGGGACTGCCTGGCTGTGTTTGACTGTTTGGGCACACACATTGTTACACGTCCACGGGGCATGGGTACGTACGTCTTCTGGTCGATGGATTTGCCGGCGAGAGTGGTGGTCCTACTGGGGTATTTTGCTTCGGCTGCTACAACGATGGTCGATTGTAGCACAGGCTTTGGCGCTCTGCTTCAGTAAAAGGTATGGTATCCAGTATCCTCTCGTATGCTAATTTCTCAAGAATGGCACGATCTAGTGAGATGTGTGATTAATTATATCTTACCGATCGATGTACAATTTCCTCAACTCTTGCCGATCGAAACATTTCCGCCTTGTGCGATTAATTATATCGACAATGTTCAGTGATGTTCATGCAATTGGGTTAGCTCGGAATTCGTGAGGAATATGATAGACAACGAAGAAAGTAGCAGTACATGCAGGTGAATATACCCGGCCGCAAGATGGCTAGTGTGTGGCAGGCTTTCTTGCATGTTTTGTCTCCAAAAATATTCACAGTTGTGAACCTTTTGTCCTTGCACATGAGAATAACGTTGAATAAAGTTGCAGCCGCGACATGCTCATAACAAGCATCGGTATTGTCGACTCTACGAATCATTAATTATAGCATTTGTCACAGTTTGTGGATTTAATAATACTACATGATTATACTTCATGGGATGGGTTAGTCAGATTGAAACACTTGATGGCAGCTGCTCAAGATTTTTATTTTTATTTTTTGAACTTTTGAAATTTTAATTTCAAAAATAGACACCCAAAAGATTTATTTCTAAATCTGAACATTTAGTCTAATATAGCTGGGTATGGTAGCACAATACTCCATGTCACAATAAGGGTGTGTTTTTTCCTTCAAGTTCCCAACACTTCTTCCTCCTTTTTCACGCGCACACTTTTCAAACTGTTAAACGGTGTGTTTTTTGTAAAAAAAATTATACGAAAGTTGCTTAAAAATATCAAATTAATCTATTTTTTTAAAAAAATTAGCTAATACTTAATTAATAATGCAATTATGTGAAAGCAGCCTTGGCATGACAATATTGTACGTCATTCCAGCTAGATTGTTGTGGGCAACGTGACAGGACAACCACAAGCACACCACTCTTCATGAAATGACATTGTTGTCTTGCCACGTCAGGCATGGTGATGCAGAAAAAAAAAGTTTATATTTGAAAATAAGTTTTTGGATGATCTAAACTTACTTCAATAAAATAATAACTTTAAAAATAAGTTTTGGGTTTTATTATATTTAGTACATGTAAATGTTGTTCTCTTCTACTATTGATAGTACAAGAATATACTTTCGTGAATTCTCAATAACTTTTTTTTTGTGTAATAGCGCCCACTAGAATTTTAATTTAACGTATCAGTTAGTTCAGAAAATACATTAAACTAATACGTATGAATGGAAGGACAATTCTCTTATACTTCAACATCTATCTATCTATCTATCTATCTATCTATCTATCTATCTATTATATACTAAAAATCCATGAAACTTCCTACAAACGCTCTCAAGCCGCCACGTGGCGCTCTAATAAAATAGAGAAAATCCTAGAAATTCTAAGAAAAAAAACAAAACATCTATCCCTTGATTTTCACTTAAATTGGTGTGTCCAATATTATACACCATTAGATAAAATTGATCTTAAAACAAACTAAATACAATAGATCCACCTATCCTCTCCTCCCGTGAATTGGCAGATGGAGGATATACATACGTACATGGTATGTATGCTTCCTTCCCCCCCTTTTTTTTTTCTTTTTTCTTCTTTTTTCCATTTATATATATAATGGATATATTTTTTAAATAATCATAATTTTACAAACAAAGACTCTACCATCATATAATGCACTCTTTACTTTGCACTATTATTTTCAAACAATGCACTATTTTAAAATAAATTTTACACAATTATATCGTGTACTTATCAAATAAACAATATCTATATTAACTAATTTATACGTGCACTTAAACCGATGGCTCCATTATATAAATCATCGGATCTACTTTTTATTACACTGGTCTATCTATTATTCTCAAGTAATGCACTGTTTCAAAATAAGATCTACACCATTATACTGTGTACCCATTAAATTAACAATTTAAAATCTATATTAACTAATTTACACTTACACTAGAACTGGTGGACCTATTATTATAATCATCGGATCTATTATTTGCTAATAAATAAAGCGTCCAAAATTCTCTTTTTGCCCGCTGCACAATGCACGTCTGCACCTTTGCCTTTCGCACGTGTGACAAAGCATAGTATCTGATCACAACCGCTATAGCGCTACCGCTTTGCCACATATCAAATCATATATGGAGATGATTAATTTTGTTAATAACATGAAAAGAAAATTAAAGGTGTGAT